CCGCTAGAAGCTTTGGAGATTGTCGAACGACGTGAATATGACGTAGAGAGTCAACAGCAACTCTTAAATACATTGCTACCTACGTTAAACGACGGACAACGCCACGCTTTTGACACTATCACCGACTCTATTACTGCAGCCACTCATCACCACACATCGCGCCTTTTCTTTGTGAATGGTCCAGGTGGTACGGGTAAATCTCAACTGTTTAAGGCTATATTGAGCCATGTTCGGTCCCGTGATCAAATCGCACTTCCTGTCGCTTCCTCTGGCATTGCAGCTATCTTGCTCCCGGGTGGCCGAACAGCACATGGTCGTTTCAAGATTCCGTTGAACGCGGATGCTTATACTTCGTGCAATCTTCGCCTTGGCGGTCCTCACGCACACCTTATCGCAAGTGCGTCAGTTATCATCTGGGACGAAGCTGTCATGTGCAGCAAATATAATTTTGATGCTGTTGACCGTGCTCTTCGGGACATTATGGGTGCTCTGGATCCGCTGTTGCGTGAACTACCTTTTGGAGGCAAGGTTGTTGTTTTTGGAGGGGACTTTCGTCAGATGCTTCCGGTGGTAAAAAAAGGGAATCGATCTCAAATCGTTGCCGAGTCCATCCAATCTGCCTCTTTTTGGCGACATGTTCAAGTCCTCCATTTGACTGAAAACATGCGCGTGAGGAATGCAGGCCCTAATGCTGCTGCTTTTGCTGACACTCTTTTGGCTATTGGTGATGGACGTGCCCCGTATCAAGAAAGCGTGGAGATTCCGCAAGAATGGCAGATCGATACAAGCGATACCATGGGATTGATTGATGCCATCTATCCATCAATTCGCTCTACTGAGCCACAGCCAGAGCATTATCATGGTCGCGCAATCTTGGCTGCCAAAAATGCTGACGTCGATGCCATCAATGATGCAGCATATGACATCTTCCCCGGCATAGGCAGAACATATGCTTCCAATGATCGTATACTTGATGCTGATGATCCTGACGCAGCTGCAGCCAGCTATCCTGTTGAATTTCTACGGAGTATAACTACCGGTGGTATTCCTAACCATGAGCTATGTCTCAAGGTCGGTATGCCATTGGTGCTTTTACGCAATATGGATCCTGATGCCGGTCTTTGCAACGGAACAAAACTCTTCGTATCAGGCCTTTACGACAACAGCATCTCTGTAAGACGGATCGACCAAGGTTACACGGGTGAAGAGTTTTTCCTTCCCCGTATCAACATGTGCACTACTGAGGGTGAATATCCCTTCGTCCTTTGCCGCCGGCAATTCCCTGTTCGCGCCGCCTTTGCAATGACTATACATAAGTCACAGGGACAGACGTTATCTGATGTCGGCATCCTTCTCAACGAACCTGTTTTTGCTCATGGACAACTATATGTTGCATTATCCAGAGCAACAAATCCTCAAAACCTTAGGGTTGCAGTCGATCTGTCAACAGCCGCCACATCCCCACCACTTACTACTAATATCGTCTACCATGAAATTCTTTTGTCTCCAAAAACCGTAAATTCACCACCTGCTTCTCCTACAACCACCGCCTCTCTACCTCCATCATCTTAACTCTTATTTTTGCTCTTTTTCTTTTTTTTGCTATAATTATCCTATTTTAACTGATCACCATTTTACGTACAATAGAATATTCGTACCTTTTCACTGTTTTTTTTGGTAAGTAGATCTGATGCGAAAAATATGATATAGAACTACGCGAGTGTCAACTCAGTCCTGCTGTCGTCTTTCAGCTAATTACGACAAGCAGCAGTAATCTACTACGATAACTAATGAAAGCGAGTGTATTGATGAACTTGCAAATTACTGTAAGAGCTGTCGATAGCAGCAAAAGAGCGGTCAAAACTCTCTATGTCCCTTTTGAATTTGGCAAACCAATCTGTAGTAGGGTTTCGTGTCATAGCAATAATGATAACGTTTAGGGTTATATGTAGACATAGCAATCAATAAGCTCGCGAAGCGAGCAGTTTCGGGTTTAGAAGGGGGGGTGTGGGGGGAACCCCCCACCTTGGGGGTCTGGGGGAAACCCCCAGGAAACATCCAATCCGTTGAATGACCCGGAGCGCAGCGAAGGGGCTCATTCAGCCGAGCGAAGCGAGGCAGGTGGATGTTGATTATAATAATAATAGTAAAAATAATAATAATAAACTTGTGGTTGCAAGACTTTTGGTTACAATTGCTTTACAAGCTGGCTTCCATCCCAAGATGTTAACGGCGACAACGACATTACCGTTATCAGGAACAACAACGTAGCTTCAAAAACTTCTGTAGAACAAAACAGATGTCCAGAATCTACGACGCCTACCGACAAACGCTCACAGCTGCAAGAGCTGGTAAGTGATTCACAAAAAAGGAGTAGGTGGTGACAACAACGGGACGTCTTCCATTCGTGAGAATTCGCTTGGTACCAAAACACTATGCTCAATTTCCCTTACCAGAAGACTTAAAGAAGCGGTGAGCCTCTTGGGCTTTTATGCCTTTGCAAGGGAGATTTATCCGCGTTCATTTGCTTGTTCGTCAGCTACGGCTGTCGTTTTTTGTGATCTGCCTGAACGAGTATATTTTATTTCCAGTTCCAGGGTACCGAGTACGCGTTACTCGATCATTACTATGTCGCGTAAACTTTAACCCGGAATCAGAATGTATATTCTGATCAATAGAAGGCATTATATAACACGCATCATCATCAATAGTCATGCATGATCTAACTATGATACATTTCAGATTACATAGTGATGACGAAGATGCGTAGCCATAGTAATGATTACATAACTTACAGTATCAAGGCCTCGTGTATCGAAATCATGTGTTGGGATTTGCATGATAGAAAACCCCGCTTCCTTCATTCTGCCAGCGCCATAAGCTCTCTCTCTCTCTCTTTCCTTCTTTCAAGACTTCTAAACATGCCTACTACCACCATTCGCATTGGTTACGGTAGGTGATTTACTAGTTTGAAAAAGACCCGCAGTTTACTGGCTCAGAATTTGATTTTGTACTTATTGTGAATATTGACTTCCCCAACTCTCGACCAGTCCCTGAACATTTCTCGACTCCGTTGTACATTGCACGCGATCGCGGATTCTTTGGCGAAAACGATGTTTCGGTCGAACTCGTCTGCTGCCCAGGTAAACTTCTACACACAATTTCTATAAAGTGCACACACAAAGATCACTTTTCTTACCTGATACCCATATATTATATTTATTATGAAAGGTGGAACTGGTGAGGTATATACATACGCTGGAGGAAATTGACAGGTTGATGAGTGCCCGAGCGTTGCTGTAAAAACAATAGTAACATTGAACGGGATCATGCATATTTGTTTCTAGATGACGCAAAAGCTCCAAAATAAGGAAATCGATTTGGCCATTGCATTGACTGAAGGTCTTGTTGCCGGTATCAGCAAGGGCCAGGATTGGTACAAGATTGTCGGCACTTATGTGGAGGCACCTTTGTGTAAGTAGCGGTAGTAGTAGGTGGTTAGTAGTAGGTGATGATGTTCTGCATAAAAGAGGGGAGAAAGGACTGAAAATCAAAAGGTGTGTTGTGAATTATAGGCTGGGCAATTTCGACAGGCGCCAACTCTCGACACACATCCATTGACACGCTCAACAAGACGAATGTCGCCATTTCACGTTTTGGCTCTGGATCACATATCATGGCCTATGTACTAGCTGATCAACAAGGCTGGTTGACCAATGACAAGGACGACGAGGTGTTTTCGTTCAGTGCACTCAACAATTTCCAAGCCATGCGCGACGCCGTAAACAGTGACGCATCTGACTTTTTCATGTGGGAGACGTTCACAACCAAACCATACCACGATTCAGGTGAAGTCAAGCGAATTGGCCAAATCACGCCGCCTTGGCCTGCATTCATGTTTGCAGCCCACGTTGATCTTCTCCAAAACCATGTGCAGGATTTGCAACGTGCACTCACGGCTATACAAAAGGCCACGCTGCTGTTTATGGAGCAAAAGGAGAACGATTCGGTCAGGTTGGTTATGGACACGCTGGACTATAATGAGGAGGATGTCCGGAGTTGGTTCAAGACAGTGCGCTATTCAATGGACCATAGTCACGTCTCGAGCCGTGCGCTGCAGGTGACCGTGTCGACACTGATCAAGGCTGGTGTTCTTGAAGCACCCGGACTGGCGCCTGAGAATCTGGTGGATCTTCAAGTAGCAAGTCTTGTGTAAAGAACGTGAAGCTTTGATGACTTGATACAAATAAATTTCCTCCTTTATTTCATGGTAAATGATGCAGGTTGTGGTAGGGTGCTTGTTTGTGAAGGTGTTTGCTTTTTACTGTATGTGGATATATATGTAATATGTGTAGAATAATGCATGTTTCGTTTTGTCCATCTGGGAGGACTTAATCTCTATCAAAGTAACGTGTCATTTGGACCTGAGCGGTGCTGAGGCTACATTTCTCATAGAATGGAACGTTGTGCTCTTTGCAGTTGAGAAGGACCTTGTAGCATCCAAGTGCTTGCGCCATATGCTTAAGTTGATCGATCAGCCTACGTGACGCCCAAGCCCCCCCAAAGAAATAAAGTATCCCGCGATCAGCCAAAACGCTTACAGCATATAATCATAGTCCTTCCCCAAGCTTACCGTATTCCCAATTTCTTTCCGCGTTGTGTATCGGAGACAACTACGTCTTCAATATGTCCGGCCTATACAAAATGTGCATTTCGTGTCTGTTACCTTCTCAATATACGTGAGCCTCCCTCCTAAAACCTTCTTTTTTACCTGACCGCACTCATGCAAAAACTTGTGCTCCACGATCAATGTGGCACAAGCGACTATCTCATCCACCGCTTCGACGCATACAACAAAGTAGCATCCCATCCGTTTCATTAGATCAAATCGTTCTATTTATTTAGAAAGAAGATAGATGCGGCGTGGGTACACTGATAAAATACGCTGTATCACAGTGTCTGGTTCTTTTCCCTTTTCTGTGTCCACAGACGAGCAGAGAGTTGGTTGCTTTGCATACCTTCAAACACTTGTTGCGATACCTCCCCAGTGACAGAAAGCTGGCCTAGCACTTCAAAAAACCCTACAAATCATACATTTGTTTACTATTTATTCTTTCACCAGACCGCTGCTTTACAAGCACTGTTTCCTGTTCGATACTTGTACTCACCTTTGCTATAGTCGTCTCGCTTTAGAGGCCGAAGAGTGTATCCATCCGGTAATGCTTCTTGGACCTCTGACGATATCAGTTTCGACGAAAACAACTGTGGGTCGTCACCTTCGGTCAGAAATGGTGAGTTGGTCATTATGATATGCAAAAACAAAAAGTGATAGGTAAATGAAAGAGAAAGAAAGAAAGAAAGGAGAGGAAGTGCGTTGTAGTGTAGAAAATAGAAATGCGCCACGTAGGTATAGAGTGCGTATATGTGTGCTTCTTTGCAGCAGTTTCCGCGGAGCCGACAGGAGCCAGGAGTAAAAGAAAACAGGAGAGTGGGGCTGGTCGATTATGCCCATGCTACGCCGCCTGTCTCTCTTTCTGTGTTTGTAATTCCACATGCATGAGTTTTGCTTGACAGATTTCCGTCGTCTTCGTCATCGGCTTCGGGGCTCGCATCCCATTTTAGTCTCCCCTTTGTGTTACCAAGCGTTACTAATTTAGTTACCATAACTCTAAATAAGCAACTAAAAGCCCATCCACGTATTCTTCTTTTTGTTCACACCCTTCCAAAACACTCTACTATGAATTCTCTCATTCGTCCGTTGCAAAAACGCGCATTCTCCACCTCGACACCAGGTACACTTGATATTTGTATTATTGTTGGCGATTGGAAAGAATCGCGTCTGTATTTATATCGCTGTTCCCTTTTTTTGTTTTTTTTAGCATCGAAGCAATTCTTGGTATTGATTCGCGACTTTAAGGATTCTGAAGCATTGAATCGTCGCTTGTTGATACGCGACTTGCATTTAAAAGGAGCCAACAAAGAAGCTGCCGCGGGTCAGCTTCTTTGTGGCGGTGCTGTTTTGGATACGCACGAGGTAGTATATACATATTACCACAATTCTAGTCTGTCAGAACAAAGGAGGAGGGATGTTTAGCTGAATATGCATACTATGGGAGGGATATGACTCTAACCTCAGTAAATTGGATGATTCTACTGTAGAGTGGCAAAATGGTCGGCAGCTGCATGATTTGGGAAGCTGAGAGTGAGGAGGAAGTGCGCAAGAAGTTGCAAGCCGACCCATACTTCGAAGGCAAGGTCTGGGAGGACTGGGACATCTTCCCTTTCAAGGTGTAAGTATAATTCTATGCTCAGTTTATGCTACGAGAGTTTGGTTTCTCATTGCTTTTATCAATGCAAACTTACTTAGCGCGGTTGGAGCATTGGGAAAGAAATAACCACTAGGATGATGTAGTAGTAGCCATGCTTATCGTTGAATTATATCCTCGCTTTGTACATACATATATATGGGATATTTAACATGTTGACGATATATAAAGAGCAAGAACGGCTTATTATACGCAAGAGCAACAGTCGCTTGAACAATCTAACGTTATATATTGTAATTTTGCCCAGAGGAAGCTGTATAGCTCTATAACAACCTTTTGAAAAGGGAAGCGAAACCGTCGAGACGCTGTTGAGGCGAATGCATCAAACGTTGAAATTAAGGAATTTTTTGTGAGTGACATCCTTTTCAACCTTGCGAGATAAAACCGACAAATGCTTGAAGAGGAAAAGTTATTCGGCTACAAGTCTGCCATCGTTGGCTGTTTCCGAGGCTAAAGAACAAGCTACAAGTATGGAAATCAGAGAATAATACATAGGTAGAAAAGACCAACTACAAGGGACTGATGATCGAGTTAAGTTTGAGTGTTACGATATGACATTTAAATACCCTGAACAGTGAAAGCCTGTATACACTACTTTAATAAGAACTGCAGACTGATGTCTACAACTGACATTGAAAAGCACACAGCTCTCGCCATTTGATAGTAGTATCTGGTTTCTTTCACAATAAATATATGCTATGAGCAAGAAAACCAATAGTTTATAGATATAAATCATGGCATTTTGAACTTTTCAAGCCGTTGCGGGATTACTATCGGCTTCCATAGCAGTCATTATGGATTCTGATTGGCTCGTTTTAATGGAAGGAAAAAACCCAAAGGGAGGGAAGAAGAGGATGATGACAGTCGTCGACTTCGAGCTCAAAGAGACGTGTCAACCCAGACTAACATATGTCTCACTATGCGACATGAACGTCACAAGGAAAATTGCATCGTGGATATCTGGCTACACAATAGCGATCTGGGTGTGTTTGACGGAAGCGTAACTGTGTTGGTTCGCAATAACAACATCAAGCCACAAACGCTTACTTTAACAATCGATACGCGTAGGCTACAACAGCACGTTTAATATGGAAGGAGTATTTTCTTGGATTATGCAACCGTGACACCAATATTGAGACGTACTACATGTATTGTAGCCGTTGTCGTACCTTGAACGAGCATGATACCTCTAAGTGCCGTCATCAACAACAGCAGGTGCATGATAATCAGCAGCGAGCGCCCACCGCAATTTTCAAGACAGGGAAAGTTGGTGATGGTTACGTTCTAGCAAAATTTTGTTTATCTTGTATGATATACTTGACTCATTTGGTGCATTTTTACTCACACACCTGTGATGTACACAAAGTATCATCCAATATCATATACTGTATAGCGGTTGAACAAGAAAAAGCTAATCATACTAATACCGATACTGTATGTACTGTTGACAGTAATGGTAGCGAAAAAGAAGATAACTGTGACATTTGCAGTATGAAGTATTAGGACTAAGCGGAAAGAATGCTGAAAAAAATGCAGCAAATGCACTGCGTAATTGGTTTAAAACTGGAACGAAGGTGTTGTTTAATTTATCTTACTTTTGTGTGAGTGGTATTGGTCAACGATTAATAGTTCGATGTATGTAGTTTATGAATAGAGCATTCTAATATAAAAGAACTCGTTTTCTTTCCACATTCTCCTTTTATCCAGTGCTGCGCTACATTTCATACAAAAGTATGGGCAACACCGATAGCCTCCCTGTTCTTCCAGGCATTCGCTCGTATCAAGAGCTCAGTCCATGGCGTATTAACCAGAACGACAAGACGCTCATTTATGTCTTTGGGGAAGGTCTACTCTTTCCCTTTCCCGTTCCCTTTCCCTTTCCCGAAATAGCAATTGAGCTAATCAAGGAGAATCACAAAAATAAGAAAATCGTAGCCGCACGAGAGCTCACAAGCAAGTGGCACACGAGCCATCAATTGGACCAACAACAACATGATGACAAGGGTCAACAAAAAAAATCCAACATGGCCATCGAAGTCCTCTTCGCCACTGATTCTGCTCGAGCGAATGCGATCCGCAACCCGATCTTTTGTGATATGGACAATAAGCTCGGAGAGATATATCCAGTAACAACTTGTAAAGCAACGAGTGTTTTCAATTTGCTGACACTGACGAACATGAAGCTGATGACATCAGTACAAGAGTATGATGCGGAATTCCGCTCGACAGCGAAGAGGATTCTCAAATGGTATGGTGTTTGTCCGGACAATTGCATCATTGATGTTTGGCTGCATAAAACGAATCAGAATATTTACGACGGCAGTGGTACTGTCATTGCCAAAGGTCCTATCCCTGGACAACAAACATGGATGTCAACAACACCAGCTGACGACATTTTTCCAAATCAAGTCCAGTTCCCAAACGCTACATCACCGGATTATCCGCCTGTACAGGCGAGTATTAAAGCGTGCTATATGTACTGCAGCCGCTGTCGTAGCATTAACAATCACAGTACTACCGATTGCCGCAAACATCAACCTGCAACACCTGCAACATGTGTATTTACGACATGCGGCTACAGCAACAGCAGCTGGGACTAGCAACAACAGCAACAACAACCATCACCATTTTTGAAAATACAATGACGATACAGGCTGAACTGCGAACAATGTGTCTCACCGGATGAACGAACATCACATTGGTCAGCTCTTTGAATATCATCTTGGCAAATCAAAAAAGTATTGAATAAAAAAACAGCCATTATTACATGTAATTGTCTGTCTACATATGTATATTCTTATGGTGTACACTATACTGACCTCATGAAGAAATTTCTATTGCCACTGTTCATCATTAGTGAATGGCGTAGGCATAATAGTGTGCTCTAAACTTTTATCCTACTATCCTACTACCATAATATTTTAATCGTCAACGCAATTGCTATGGGTGTCCAATTCTATCGTTATAAGAACAGAACACGAACCAGTTCATGGTTGACAATGTGTTGCAAAACCAGCATAAGCATTGCTTTAACTCGCGTGTAGCTACAGTCAAAGGGAAAGGGTTTGACAAGAATGTTCGATGGCGACATGTACTTGAATAAGGGCTCATTGTCGAGCAAGTCTAGTATTCACAAAGTAAAGCTGCGCGATAAATGAAAACAAGTACGCGACGAGATCTAGTATCAAACATATCTATGATAGGTGTGACACTGTGATATTAAAAAGACATTGGCCCAGAGACCATCTGAACTTGTGTCTTGTTATCTTCTTGCAGTATTATTACATGCCACGACCTGCTTTACGTGTACTGCAATCATTGCAGTGGTACAGTCAACCAGCGATTGAGCCGCAGCTCTATTTTAGCAGCAGCATTGTGTTTTTGTCAAGTAGAGGAAGGTATGGTTAGCCTGAAACTTTAGGAAAATAAAGAGTGATCATAACTAAAGAAATAAAAGAAGCATGTGTATATAAGCTGCCTGTATACCAGAACAGTTCTCAACAAAATGAGCGGACCTGCATTCTAGTTTAAAAGAGCTCAAGCACTAAAACTGTTTCCGCTTTTTCTTTTACCATTATTCCTTCTCACATTATGCCAGACGAAAAACCAAACGACCCACCAGCATCGCTCAAACAAATCCTTGAGCAGTCAAAACTGATTACCACAAAGATCCAACAATACGAATTACCACAAATTGAACGAGGTTTAGATCAGATCGATTCACAAACACACAATCTCACTACGAAAACCACGCAAAATGAAGATCAGTCCAATGTAGACATTCGAGCGTACGTTTTCTTTTTTCTTTCTTCTACACATACATAAAGGAACTGCTCATGAATCCTTTTTAATTCTGTACAAAAGAGTTGGTTGCTAACAGTGAAACTTTCCATTATAGACATTACTTTCTATCAAAAGCACGCGTGAACACCCAGGTCCTGTTACGCGATCTAGGCACGATTCATTTGGGTGCCACACCAGCTCGTCGACAGCCCATTTATGACACCGATGTAGAAGGATATCTGCTTCGCGAACGTACACAAACCATTATTGACGTTATTGCGGATGGCAAACAAGAGGTAATGATATTTCGGTCGAGCGAACGTCTGTTGCTGCGTACTAGTGCTGCCCCAAGTGGAAGGAGTATTAAGTATGACATGTGATTTGAAATAGATTCTGGATGACATTGAGAGTCTGTTTGACCAAGACTTGCACGCAACATGGCGAGGTATTCGAGAGAATATGACTGCAGGCTATGATGCAGAAATGGCACAGGCGGATATCACAGCCTTGAACCTTTCAAAATCGAACCTCAAGGTTTAAACAAGGCCTCGATTGCTATTTCATCCTTCGTCGTCGTCGTCGACCAACAACCCCATTTACACCACCAACTATATTAACGGACATATTGCATTTTCTTTCCCGTTCCCATGCGCACCTCGATTCCACACTTTCTTCACCACCATATCACATACTCCATTATCAACAAATAAACACCAACCAACTGTGTATAGCAACATATGAAAAAGATCAGATTGTTTTGACGCGATTCTTGTATTCAAAGGTGGATATAATATATAGTGGATTGAAACGGATCAAAGAATGTTTGTCATTTGTTGATGGTTATATGGATTGAGTGAATTGATATTGTCTAAAATGCCGTGGAATGATATAAAAGATGATGTTGTTGTTGCTTTGCTGGTTACCCATTGAGAGCATAAGCTGGTATGCTTGCTAGGAGTAGTAGTAGTGAGGGTAATGGTAGGAATAGTAGAAGAGATATTAGTAATAAGTGCTGTTGTTGTTGTTGTTGTAGTTGTTGTCGAAAGGAGGTGGAGGAGCCAGAGAAAAAAAGACAAAAGAGGGAAACATTCACGCCATCTTTGTTTACGGTTCGCTGGATAAGTTTCATTTTCATCCTATCAATAATATATTCTTACAAAAACACAAAAAAAGAGGGTATCAACTTGGGGTTTCAATGCATCCAGCGATGAGCGAGAGTACGTATATGGGAGATGTATGCCATACTATACAAGTAGAGGAGACCATTCTCTCTTTTTGGTGGGATAGGGTAAAGGGGAGTTTTTTAAGCCGTAGCAGATCCATACCCGTCCTTTACGCCCGGATTACTGGCATGATTCAGTAAGCGGCTATGCTCGCTCTCCACAGATGGCACGAAAGAGCTTGGGCTTCTTACTGAGGGGTAGATCGATGCAACCGAAGTATTGCCAGAGTTGCCCTGTTGCGGGTGGCGCTGGTGCTTGGCGATCTCTCGTTCGTTCTTTTCATACTTGTCCGCAACCCACAATGCTGCAGCCACCACATTGGTCCACATGAAAAGCAGGTTGAAAATCGGGACGAGCTCGAGTGCTACAGCCACTACACCAAAACTGCAGTACGCTCCGCGGTTTTGCCATGCATATCGGCGGGATTCCGAGACGCTGAATCCACGGAACTCGATGTCGTAGTGAATATGCTGGCCCCAGCTATAAAGTTCGTTAGTTTTTCATCCACACTATCCATCGCCATCACATGATCTGCATCTCCAAACCTAGCCTTACCATGCAGGCCATCCGTTGATGTAACAAGCGATCACTGTGCCAACTACAGGAATCAAATGTAATGGTGCAGTAAGGATCCATACAACGATCTACAAGAAATAAAAGCCGGGAGCAGTATTCGTTAGTGTTACACAGAAGAACGAATGTGTACACAAACACTCCTCTTCCCCCCCCTTTCTTGGCGTTAATACCGTTCATCCTTTTTTCTTACCTGAGCCAACACAAGGAACCATACGAGAGCAAGGCCAGAAGAAACGCCTCGACAGCATAAAAGCATGCCATTCACTTGAACTCGGGTTTCAAACATACGTGACATGCCACGTGCCTTAAGTGTCGCATCAAATAGAGCGTCCTGGAAAAAGGGTATGAGGATAGCGAAAAAGATAACGTCGAAAATAGCCGATTCGAGCAACACGAAAATGACCGACACGATCCATGCCAACCAGTTGGGACAGCCGGCTTCAATGAGTGCATTGGCTTGCAAGGGAAGTAAGAATACAAATGACAGGACCAGGGAAATGATGCCAAAGATCAAGGTCAACAGGAATGGACAAAGTACTTTAAGCCATAGCTACAACATATGCTAAGATTTAGAAACACGCTTTGACACTGACAAGGTTGGGGTAAGTAGAGAAAAGGTACCTGAGGGTGAGCAATAAAGTAGACAATGCCCGAGATTGGGTAAGTATACGGCGGGGCCATGGCACACGCTTGTTCACGAAAAACAAAAAGAAAAGGCAAAGAGAGAGAGAGAAAGAGGAGGGGGGTGGGGGTGGGGGCGTGTTGCCTTAAAATTACAATGCTATGTTATTCCCGGATAAGCATTTTTTCAAACTGTTGCCCTGAGTGGTGGATGATGATCGCGACCAACTTTATAGACTCATTGTATATCAGCCATCACTGCGTATCGTTTTCAGACCACGTTGTCAGCATTCTTATTGGGACGTGCAACTCGCGAACAGAAACCAGGGATTTCCTTGAAGGAGTGTTTACCACGGGCCCATCGAAGGATGGCCCATTTTTTCCATGTACTTGCATATTTTGACAACCGTGAATTACGGCATAAAAGCCAGAATGTCAGTTCTCCCAACACATCGTAGTAGTGTCTCTTACTAACTATCCGTTACAGGTGCTACGTGTTGATGTAGTAGTACTGCTAGTAAAGACATTATGAAGCATTGATATCGTATCAGACGCATCCAAATGTCGGTGCTTGTTTCGAACCATTCTCAATGTGTATGTACTGCTTTACTGTGCTACCCTGTCTTTGTTCGGAAGTTTCGGGTCCTCGGATCCTCACTGGAAGCCCCGCCTCATTGACAACTAAAGGCTAGATGGCATTAAAGTTATATCGACTATGAGTTTTTTTTATGTTTCGAGTATGCTGTTCACGCAAAATGAAACTTACTGCTCATAAAGTGTCGCTTCGGGAACTTTGTTGGGCGAGCTGTAGGAGCAAAAAATGAATTGTACTTCAATTGATTGGTGTTGGTACGAAGAATAGAATCAAGCCGGTTTGTCAGTTGTTCGGCAACTTGTCAGCTATGCGTGGTTACGGAGGAGTAAAACGTATAAATTCGCTCAATGTATAAACTCGCTGCAACAACATCGTTTTTTCTCTCTCTCTCTCTCTCTCTCTCACACATTAGTGCTCCTCCAACAACAACAATAACGACACGTTCTCGCTTCCTCCATCACTATCACTGCTTTACCTAGTTCTCATAATGTGCGTACCCAAAAACACTGGTCGACACACGTACGTCTCCAAAGTCTTTGGAGCCGACGAGGGCACTTCTCGAAGTATCCCCTTCTTTGTCTACATTGTGGAGGCCATCATTCTCGTTGTCAGCATCACGGCCGTGGGTGCAGTTGCCACATCGCTTGCGGGTGATCCAACTTCTCAATAGGTGAATCTAACTCGATGAGGGGCTTAACCAAGAAGAACTGTAAGGGTATCCACCAGCCAACTAAGCGCACCCGACTGGATCATTTGAGAGGGAGTCGGTTTTCCCTTGCTTTTCTTTCCATAATCTCTTCACACTACATGAACTAGCGGTGCTTCTTCTCTTCTGATATTTTGGTAATCATCAGACTATGCAATAAACCATTTAAGTACAATACACAATCGCAACCATGGTTTGTTTCTTTATTTGTGTACTGCACCCATTCAGACCATCCCACATGTAAATATCCTTTCCAAACTGCATGTCTGTACGGGATGGTCCTTTGTCACTGACGACAACTTATTTTTTCCGCACCTATTAACAGTGCCAACTACTGTTGTGGCTATATCAGTTACTTAAAACGTTCATAAACTGACAAAAATTGGCAAGAACAATGAATTAGGTTGTCTGTTATATATGAACAGACGTGCAACTAAAGACAATGTCTTATCAAAGCAACAACAGAAATTGATATATATCGCCATTAATAAGCAGCACCATATAGCAGGTAATCTGTCGATAGAAATCCGAGTCATCATCCCATCTGTCCACACATATATTAGTACTGTATATACACTGGCTCATCTAAATGTATAATTCGATGGAATAGTGACGGCATTCTGTTTCTGATAGATCAACACCCCTTTCCGCTATCCGTAGATAAAGAGCCCAATGACCACGATACGAGATGCATCAGAGTCCCCACATGAAACTAGTGCACGACACTTTTGAATAATGAACATATTAACTAGTATATAAATATAAGACTACAAAAACTACTTTACTTCTCAGTTATTGACAACGCATTCCCTCTGTGCCCCACCAACCGACAGCTCAAGATAAAGTTATCATAATCAAATCTCCCCCGCCTGCATATCGTACACATCAGCTACAAAACCATATTACTGTAAGCATCAAGAACTACAAGAACTACTATGTGCGGCGGAAACAACAAGGTGGCTCCAACATTAAGCTTTATGATTTTGGAATCATTTATCCTTGGCATCTGCATTGTTGCCCTTGCTTTCGCGGCAGCTTCATTGAATAGCAGGGTCTCGGGTGTCGACCATCCATATCATAACACGGATTGAGCATGCATGAAATGCATAACAAGAAGGATCCAATACGTAGTTTCGAACATTGCCTAGAAATCACCACATATATTTCTTCAGAAGGGTGTACGATTGTACCTCTTTTCTTGCAATAGTCATACAATTTCTATGCTCTACAATACACTATAAAGTAAGCATCGATTGCGATAAATAAACGTATCATTGTAGCCTCACATAAGTAGTAATAATCCTCATACCATTATTTGAAGATGATTAGTGTGGTGCCTGCGATTTTTTCCCTTCATCCCAATTGGGTCTTTGTTAAAAAAGCAGTACTATGGAAATAAGATGGTGTGGACCGTTTTTTTTTTGTTTCTATGTATTTTGTTGCCAGATCACTACAGTTGTCCTGCTAACGTAATCAATAAAGTATGGATTGTAAGGAGCCCTCGTTTATCCATTTGACGACATTCGAAGATCGAAAAATATATAAAACGCGTCCATATCATGGTTTTTTAAACAATACAGAACTTTCTCCCCTCTATCTTTTACGCGCAACACTTTAAATACAGCTCCTACAACAACTCTTACCAACCAATTGCTATCTTTATCATGTGCTGCGGTACCAGAAAAGCTTCCCAGGCCTATTGCTGTCCCTCCGGTGGTATTCCATTCCACGTATACATTGTCGAATCCGTTGTTCTCGTTGTTGGCATTATCGCTGTTGGTGCCGCCGCCGCCACTCTGACTGGGTGATCGAGGAGATAGATCCAAACTGTGCATTGCTTTTTTCTGTTTCGTTACTACATTTATAGCAACAGCCAAAAACATACACTTAGTCGAGATGATATGATATAGAATCTTCTACGTAAAACTCATTTTTCTTTCTTTTCTTACTCACACAATGAATAAATGCATACATTTACTGGCTGTTGCTGCTACCAATAAAGAATCTGTATCCTCGTTAAAATTAACCCTGTCTCATTGTTTTCCCTTCAGTGTCTTGATACATAATGTAGTTACGTAACAGTAAAAGCTCTCTTATTGATTATAAAACTCATACTTGATTGAGATCGAGTGACTGTAATTCACATCCGCACATTAATTAGTGCTGAAGCAATCAGTGTAGGGAGCTCTCAAAATATATACTACATTGTTTGACGGCGCAATGACCAAGTCTTGCTTCCTTTATAGTCTTCCCGAAACAATTAAAAGTGAGACAAATCATCTTCACCAACCATTGTACGGCATGAAGTACAAGATATACAATAAAAGATACAATGAAAACGACTACATCCAAGACCCATCAACTCACACGGCTTCTTCTTGATTCTTAGTAAGTCCCAGTACGAATCTCACTCGATTAGGAACAACGCTCTTGACAACATTATATAGAAAGGAGAAAATGTTTAAAATTCAGCGATATAGAAGTAGCCCGTAAATTAGCTTTCCCTCTTCCGCCTTCATCACCTCCATATTACTAGCAGCTGCCAATTTTTTAAACTTGCTCATTTCACTATCTTTTATCCCATCTGTCACTTATTGTTGCTATTAATCATCCATCATGACCGCCTGTGATAATGTCAAAAAAACTTTGCGAACCTTTTTTCGCCCACCGGGAGGTGCACCAACCAATGTCTACATCGCTGATACCCTCATTGCTGTTACCTGTGTTGCTGTTGTTGTAAGCACTGCCGTGTGGCTGCGTGTTTAATATGTTGCTTCCTTTTATATTGCTTCACAACCTTTCTTTCGCTTATACAAAAGCGCACCCTGATATATACGAATAAAGCCTTGTAGAATTACATGATCTTTTATAGAAGCTTTAGCATAATTCTGTACGACCCTGAGATAAATGATGGCGGCAGTTATTACCGACATACGGTATCTAGATTATGATTTATTGATCGACGACAAAACAAAAACCATATACCGACTAAAATGGAGAAGGTAACATACCACCCAACTTCTTCCACATCCGGAGGAGAGAAAAGTGTTCCTGTCCTTTCTCCTAATCATTCTTTTGCTTTTTACCATTCTAACTGCAACCATACGTTTTTTGACCAGTATCACTATGTACTATCCACGCTGTGCCAATATTACCATGCGCTCCGTGCTGTTTCACTTTTACGTCGTCGAATCGCTTATACTCGCCGCTTTAACTGCATCCAGCAGATACAGATTGCCGTTTGTAGCCTTTCGGACAGCTAAAACGACCTTCCAAGACCCAGTGAGGTCTCAAAAACCCAAACGGTATTCTAAGTGTTACTGATGTTGGGATATTGTAATTTTATTTATGATCAGTAGTTCCGATTCTGTAAACTGCTGACGGCGAGGAAAGAATGACCTTTTATAGTACCTTGTCAGTTAAAGTGCCATACTCTGTCTTTTATTTCCTTTCAGTACCGGGTACAGCAATAGCAGTTGGCTTAGAAGTTGGAGCTGTCAATAAAGATGCTCTCTATGAAACTCGAACTTTATACCTGTTTTTTCGTGCTTATGATAATTTTTACTTTCCGGTATCTATGGACGCTGTATGATACATCCTTTTTCTAAAAATTGTCGTCAACAAATTCTATGGAATCGTAAGGTTCCTCTTCTCTTGATGATATAGATGATCGAATACATAAATTATATACTCTTTGTGTGAACGCTTTATACGGCGCGCTTCTAAAAATGCTGCAAATGACTCTGTAGTCCAAACTATGTATGTATTAATCGCTAAAAATCATTATCCGAGTGTGTATATCGAGTGATAATGGATTAAGAGAACACCAGTAGTGATCAGTGTACATGCATTTTTGTGAACCTCCTGCCCTATTGTGCTCACACTTTTTGGTTTTGCTATTAGCTGTAAGTATGAAAAGTGAACAAATTCAGCGCGTTATATTGTATGCATGATGAACTAATCAGATCATATGAAGATGCACAGAAATCTTCCATGCGTAAACAGAACAAGCTCTTGACACTATACATTGACGACAAGGTAAACTTTTAAATACCTTCATTTGATTATCAACATCATAGCCCTACATCTTTTCTCTCTTCATCTTGCTGTTTTTAACGTCTTTTTACCAGCACCGGTTTTTCTGTCTTTTGCTCTTCTCTTGTAAACCCAACAAAATGTGCTGTGGAAAGAAATCTGGTGGAGGTGGCGGTGGCGGATTTAAAGTCTCTGGCCCTGGTTCACGCAGCAGCAGCTACTCGTCTTCAGCCCCGTCCCGAGCTTACACTTACGTCGTGGAAATAGCTGTGTTTATTTCTTTTATCGTCGGAATAGTGTCGATGGCAATGTCGCTAGCTGATGAATAGGAGCATGTCTCAGCCCTTCCCTCCTTAATTTCATTGTGGTACCTGGCAACAACATCAGCAACAGCAATTACAATTTACCTATATCATCAACAGCTCAAAAAAGAAGTAGTGGCAATCAATAAAGTGACGCGTTAACATAGAATATCACTATCAAGAGTATTACATTGAAACCGCTTCAAGCATAGATACTATGTACTTTAAATGAAAAAGACAGAATATCCTACTATTTCCTACACACACAGAAAAAATCACAATCGAATGATACATTAGGCTAACACTATTTTCATAAGATAGAAAGCTTGTTTATTTGCCTTTTTACTGCTATACAATAAATTCAACTGCTTGAGCGATACCACGTGTGCAACAACGATTATAATATGGCCTGCTTCTTCACCTGTTATAAGCACTCGTAATTCCTCATCGTCTCTAATACTACCGAATCTCACTATCATTGTACGTCTGTATACCAACGATAGCATTTATATAAGGAGCTATAGCTGGTAATTTTAAAAGAAAAAAAAACACCCTTTTGGTAGTAACCATACTAGTGCAGTAGAGCTATGATCATCGCTGTTAGGTAGTGTACATACGCTTGATGATGACGATGTATGTACGCATTATTATTGAAACGCTAACGATAACTAAGGGTCATTGTTCCTTGATAATATGTTTTACCGGACTGTCCTTGACAACAACTGATCTACGAGTATAAATACTACTGCAATTGTTGTCTGAAAGTCTAATGTATATAACAGCTCCTTTTCCCCGCATTTTCTACAATCGTTTTGCCTTATCACTTTAAATCA